AAGAAAGAAAGAAAGAAAGAAAGAAAGAAAGAAAGAAAGAAAGAAAGAAAGAAAGAAAGAAAGAAAGAAAGAAAGAAAGAAAGAAAGAAAGAAAGAAAGAAAGAAAGAAAGACAGTACTTCCTCTGAATCACATTTCTTAGCCTGGCTGAATAATAATGAAAATTCTACACTCAAAGAAGCACGGCAATTAGGGGCAAGATATACTGCCCTTTAGAGAGGGAGCACTTCCATTGTACAACCTGGTGATGACTATGCAGCCCTAGAATCCTAATTTAAGAAGTGTAATCCTGCACCAACCAGTAGTATGAAGAGGACCCAAAAGGGTTTCTGTTTTATTTCTTCAATGGTTGCTACCTTGCTGTGAGAAGAACTCACAGCTAGGCCAACAATTGTCCAGAGAACAAATCAAAATGCATGGAGTTAAGAGCATTATTAAATCAATTTTCTTTACTGTTTTGTATTTTTGTTGCCTGCCTGCCCTCAGGCCCAAAAGAGAACAGAACACCATGGAAAACAGTCAACGTGGTGAGATGGAGCAGCCAAAGATGATATCACTGAAAAACATGACTAGATGCAGTAGGGGAACAAATAACAATTGAAAGCTCATGACACATCAGCAGCTAGCAGCACAGCCATAACCTCAGATGACAGAGAGAAGTATCTCTTGCCAGGATACAGAATAATATTAAGCTTGGTATACATGAGTGACATAGCTGTGCCAACAAAGAACTCGTGCTGGCAATCCTGTGATTCTTCAGTCATGTATGTGTACCAAAACCACTTAACTTGCACATGAAAGACTCAAAGAGCCGAGGAAAGCAAAAGAAAACATGTTAAATAGTGCTGTGGAGAAACACTGCAATACACTTGAGCAAATTTTACATCATTGAAATAAAATACACTGTAGGGAATGGACCTTTAGGTAGAATATTTTCCTCTCAAAAAGGCTGCATGACACATCTCCAGCCATAGCATTTTGAGTCTCTGTGCAGAGGCACAGACAAAGGAAGAGGAATGCTAATGAAGGTCCTGGCCAGCAGATCAAGGGAGGTGAGTCTCTCCTACTCTGCTCTCATGAGATCCAATGTAGAGTACTGTGTCCAGGTCTGGGGTCACCAGTACAAAAAAGACGTGGACCTGTTCGAGCGGATTCAGAGGAGGATTGCAAAAATGGTCAGAAATTGGAGTGTGTCTCCTGTGAAGAAAGGCTGAGAGAGTTGAGAGTGTTCAGAAGGTTGGAGAGAAGGCTCTGGGGACGTCTTTTTGCAGCCTTTCAATATCATAAAGGGGACTTAAAAGACAGAGACTTTTTACCAAGGACTGTAGGGACAGAACAATGAGCAAAGGTTTAAACCTGAAAGAGAGTAGATTTAGCTTGAACACAAGCAAGATGTTTTTTACAATGAGGGTGGTGATGCACTGGAAGAGGTTGCCCAGAGAAGTTGTGGATGATTCGTCCCTGGAAGTGTTCAAGACTGGGCTGGATTGGGCTTTGAGCAACCTGGTCTGGTGGGAGATGTGCCTGTCCATGGCAGGGGGCTTGGACTAGATGATCTTTAAAAGTCTTTTCCAACTCAAACCATTCTATGATTCCACGATTCTACGATTCTATGAATCCATTTCTAATAGCAGTGCTGTGGAATCTATGCCAAGTCCTCCTGCAACCCCTGTCTTTGCAGAGATGTAATATCTCTATTCCTGGCAATGTAATGATGGACAGGTGAATTTTTAAGTGAATGTCTCACTACAATCACGCAGAAACATAGTAATAGGGTCTCACTCAGTTGTACCCTAATTTATCATATCTTTTGCCTCATGTCTTTCTACCGTCTCATCTACAGCTGGTCTGGACAGTAAGCTATTAATCAATCTCTGCTGATCTCTGGAGGCCAGTAACAATTCCTATTCAAATCATTTAGTTTGTCATTCACATTTCTCATTTCAGCATGCATTTAATTTGAAAACACTGGTCTTCCTTCTTTATACTTGCAGGCACTCAATACTTACTGTCAGACTCTGCACATTCACAGAGCTCAGCTTACAATTCTCTGAAACCAGAGTTACTAGAAAGGGCTTATGTCCTGACAGTGATTGCCTAGGTAGCAACAGTGGGAGAAAAATAGTAACGAAAAGAGGAGAGCGAAAGAGGAAGGAATAAGGTGTTCAGCACGAAATGTTAAGAGGTCCAGGCTGAGATGAAAGCATGGACAAATTCAAAAGGAAGAGAGACATGTGTGTGCAATTATTGCAAAATTAATGAGAGGCATTCTCTGAATACATAAGCTGCAAAAGAGGAAAGAAAATAAAGTTAAAATTGGTAGAATCTCCTAAAAAATGCAGATATGTGAAATATTGTATATCAAAGGAAACATAAAAAATGTTATCAGAATAGAAAGTGAGAGCCAAGAACACCTGACAATTATTAAAGAGTAGGACTGATGCTATCAGTAACATCAGAGGCTACTGAGGATCTGAAAAGGGTAACAACAACACAAATTCCTACATTTCGTAGGAAACTGTGGGAGGAGACATTTCAGTGAAAATGTTAGTGGATGCCACAGTGAAAGATGAAGTCACAGAAAATGCACAAGGAGTAAATGGATCATATTATGAGTTTGAAGGTGAGGGGAATTCACTTCCTGAATGGTGAATGAACAGAAAGCTGCAATTGATGGGGACTCTCCAAAGCCAAACATTTCTGTACTTAGCACTTGCACTTAAACAAGTGCTGTCTTAAGTTATTGGGATGGGAGTAACTTCTTCAGCCAGGTGGATCAGAAGCACAGCAGGACATTTAAGTGTCAAAGAAAACAAAAAAAAAAAAGCAAAAAAAAAAAAGAAGGGAAGGAAAAAAGGAAAGAGAGGAAAAGAGCCATTTCAGAGCTCCAGTAGCCGTGAGAAGGAAAGGTGGTATATTGAAGAGAATTGCATGACTAGTTAGATATCTATATTTGTTATTTTGAATCTCAGAACACTTCCCAGGGAAGAACTAGATAAGTGAAAACAAAGAAACACTTCTGTGGCATGAGAACAGAAACAGAGGAAGGGGAAAACTGTTCTTGGCTGTAAAAGAATGAAAGCCAATGGAATAATGCAATAATAAAAACATAGGAACATGTTTCAAGAAGTGAATTACAACCAAATTTTAAAAAATCTAAAAATATCTCAAATTATATTTATAAATATAATAGACAGAACAAGAAATAGAGTATCAGGAATATAAAAAAAAATCTGTCCATTATTTACCACTGTAATGCCAACAAACCTACCACAGAAATCCAAAAATTTTTAGAGGACAGTATTAGTAGTGGCATGATTTCTAATTGGGAAGACTAAAATTCTAGAGACCAGCTTCACCTCTCCAAGTTCAGACAGCTGTGAGTGAGAAATGATGCTCTAGTCTGCCTTGAAGCACTTCAGAGGTCAGGTCAGATCTTGGAAGATTCAATCATCACCTTATGCCATGTTTCCTCCTCTCCTTTTACTTATAAGACCACCAAGGACAACAGGATTCCCAATTTCCCTGATTTGGGGGAAAAAAATCAGGTCTAGGATCAGCTCCCTTGAACACAAAAATCACAGGGCAGGCCTTCTGAATTCCTGTCAACAAATGCTGTGCCGTGCAATTTCAAACTGGGCACAGTCACTTGAACTGCGTTTTCCCATGTAATTCCTTTCACCTGCACAGTGAAAAATTGGACAGCATCTCAGGCATTGACATGATTATTCATTTAAGCGTGAGATGCTCTAGCCAGCAACAAAAAATTATCACTGTATCCATCCTAATAAGAAAGAATGGAAACTCTGTCTATAATTTCCAGAATCTGGCATATTGTTAGCAGTATTAACATTGAAACATTGTCACCAAATAATGTAAAATATGAATGACCTAAACAGAAGAGATATTTTTTACCATGGAAGACAATGAATTTTGCTTCCCAGTTACTTAATTTGTAATAAATACAGACCAGCTTTCCAGTGCCTTTATCTGGTTTTATGTCCTTTATATAAAAATAACTTCCAAATTATTATTTTTCTACATATTCCTATTATTGAATTACAACAAATATTATAAAATATTATCATGGCTGGTTAGGCATTCAAAATAGAATTTTTCGTCTGTGCGTATATTCTGCATGGCAGACACTTTGTAGAAATATTCCCAGTAGGCAGAATTTTTTGTGTATAAAAAGATGAAGCAATATGTTTTTTCCTTAAATAGAAATAAGGAATATAACAAAATGTGTCACTGTTCATACCAACTACTTTGTCAATATTAAGAATAAAGAGTCATTTCAAAAGGAAAGCCAAATAAAATCTAGAAAGAAAGCATCTAAGACAAATATTACTTACCTGGTTTTAAGATACCATATGGTATGTATGCATTTATAAATCTAAAACTAACTTAACATACTGCTTAACACCAACAAGCTTTACTGAAAAATCAAAAAGTGAGGGTTTCACTGTCAACATTTAAATAAACCATTTGCATGTACAATTACTATGACAATATATCTCAAAAATTCTAGATTCGTCCGTAACGTATATTTACTACTTTTGTAGAAAACAGACATATCATTATCACTGAATATGAAATATTCAAAATTATTGCTGGCCATTATTACCTTTAGGTAAAAAACAACATTCTCAGTAAAAAAACAACTGTACTAAATACAAAGTAAATTACCTTATTTTTTATGTTTTCCTTTAAGGGTCTGTACTCTTTTCTAATAAACACTGACAGAATTTGGGATATACTACAGCACTTAAATTTATGCTATCTGGTGTATTTAGTCTACTTCACTGTGTTTCTGAAGTTTTAAAATAAATATTTGGCAAGACAATATTTATAGAGCTTGTTTCTTACAAAAAAAATCTATACTATAATTAATCGATTATGTCAATAGTCTATAATGACATAATGCTATAAAATCAGAGGGAAAAAAGTTAAAAACTCTCAAGATTTACACTTATTCTATTCTATTAAGTGAATGCGTACCCCCACAGACATCGCCATCCACATTTTCACACTGACGATCATCACATTCACAGTTTTTGCCATGAACTCTGTTGTCTCCTGGAGGGAAGCAAGTGCATTGGCCGCATTCACATCTGCCTGAGAGAATAATGATTGTTAGACTCAGGATTTCATTAAAGTAAAATGAATTAAATAAAAACCCAGATGTACTCTACACCCTAACCCCCAAAGACAAACTACAAGTCAGTCGGTATTAATTAAAGTATGCACGTAAATGCTACTAAAAAAAAACCAACCAAAACTATCGCTCCTCCATGGCAACCAGAAGCAAAGTATATCACTGTTATATCTTGGTAGAAACAGCAACAATAAGCAGTCATTGGCATTGTATGTTTCTCATATCTCAACTTTGCATAACAGAGTTATGCTTACCTGCATAATTAAATTCTATAATTGATCTAAAATATTTAGCACATACCTCAGTAATTCCCCAAAAAATGTGATTAGAATTAAATAGTCTATGCACAGGGCCACCTAGGATATGTATTCATGTAGAAACATAACTCTTCCAATATTCTGTAGGGCATTTGGAAAGTAAAAATCCCTATAACTTTTCTTATCTAGGTCTGAGGAGACAGAAATCAAAAGCACAACCTCTGTCAGTCTTCCCTTCCATCAACCTGTTCATAGGACAACTGCCCAGAGCTTAAAGGGGAAATAGACTCATCCAAACTCCCACAGATCTTCCACTCCAAAGCCCTCAGAGCACTGAGTATCATATCACCAGATGCAAAAAAAAAATATAGGATAAAGGACAGTCTTATGTTGCACATATATGAGACAAACTGAGTACAAAGTAACACTAGTTTTATTTCCTAACTTCTAAGAGTTTGCCTCCATATTTTTAAAATTGTTTTAACTCAATGCCACTGTGAGAATGCTCTAAGTATGACACCAGCTGTGGATTAAAGCAATACATTTGGTGGGCTTGGGAAAGGATACTGTGAGTGAAAAAAGGGCCAACAGAGACATGGATTAGGATGAAAAAAAGACTGTTCCTCTCAACTGAATTTAGTCACAGCATCAGTGAGAATTAGCCTGGGCCTGGACATTGCTCTAGTGACTGCAGTTCCCAAATTTACAGGAGGAGTAACTGTAGCTACAAAGCAAGAAAACCCTCTAAGTACAGCCTTTCATTATATAACCAAACAGTTCATCACACACATTATTTTTTCAGCACTTTCTGAAATATTTTGGTAGGTTTTGTGACAATAAAACCATTTAGGTCAACATACTGCCAGATCATTGGTAATCTGGTTTTTTTCTTTTTTTTCCCAGTTTTTAACCTAAATTTTTTACATCTGTTTTGCAAAAAAAACCAAAAACCCTCAAACAGTCTGCCTAAGCAGGGGTTCATTTTATTACTTGTGGGAAAAAATGCCCAGCTCCTTTTAAGCTTCCCTAGTCTTCATTTTCCCAAGCATCAACATATATTGCACTTCTGTGCTGACATTCTCTGTGCTAGGATATAATCGAGAAAGACATTTTATTATCAGCTCAAAGTGCAAGAACATTTAAAAAGACATTCTGATAGTATTAACAGCAAATACTTCACGACATCTTTATAATATATATAGTTATATGAGGATATTTGTTCCAGAAAGAAAGTTGTTATAGAAAGTGCATCTACCACATCATGAAATGCAGTTGTACTTGGTAATCACATCATCATTTAGGATATGATTGTCTACAGAACGATTGATGTTATTTGCCTGCATTCTCTAAGCTATAATTATTGGCCAAGGACAGCTATATTAGAAACTAGGAAAAAAAAATCATTCCTTAGTACTTAAATATACAGACTTTTAATGAGTCCAACTTGTCACTATTCAGGGCCCAGACACTCTCTCTCTATGCAGACAAATTAGACAGTGTAGCTACTTCTACAAAAAATGTCACATCTCAGGGTCTCAGAGCACAGTCAGTCACCCATAGGCAAATAGGTACCTGGTGAACAGACCCTTCTGTTTTGAAGACACTATAAAATAAACAAAAGAACTATCTTTAACAGTGGTATCCTGGCCAGCTAATGTTATAATAAGGAGGATGCCTGAAGGACAATAAAATCAGTTTGAGCAAGTTGCTTTGAAGAGAGGAGTCAGCAGAGATGGAAAATCCTCCAGAGGGACAAGCAAAGGAAGATTCTGTAATGAGGCTCCCGCGTGTTCTGTAATTAAGCATTACCTTCTGTAATGCTTAATTTAATAAGTCAGAATGACCTGAGAGCTCAGTGGCTGGGCACTTACACTGGAATTGGAACAGGTTCCTCTCAGTCCCTGCTGCAATTAATATTTATTCATTTTAGTTAATGTGCAATAATTTTACCAGTAAGAAAAATGAAGAATATCCCATCCGTGGGCAGATAGGGCACATTTTTGTCAGGTAAGCGATATAAACTTCTCAAAATCAAGAACAAAGGGGATTTAGGCCCTACTTTCTCAATCTTCTCATTTTAGCTAATGAATAAAACATCAACACATATATTCAAAAAGCCCAAATTCTTTGTTGATACCTGTGTCTCATATTTTATTTTGGCTGGCTCCCATCTATGTTCAGGGCATGATTTAGATAATCTGACTGCAGACCTCTGCAGAACTGAAAGTGTCTTAAAAATGGACAGAAACCTCAGCCAGTAAGTGCTCTGGAAAAGGATTTCTCTGAGCTATTTCTTTACATTTAAATACTCAGAGATATATTTACAGTAGTTTATTACACTGCTGCTGAAATTGATACTCAAATTACTACTTCATCACACCCTTCCTTTTACAAATGTGACAAAATCATCACTACAAACATAAGTGAATTTAGTGGTGGCACTAAAGAATTGCACCTTTGTACTGGCTTAAAATGTAAATTTTACCTCCAAAAGCACTGAGACTTTGGTTAGATCACGTAAAGTGGGCTCACTCTGTGGAGATAATTTAACAGTGTATCAAAGTCCTATTGCTTCTGAACAGCTAACTACACAGGAATAACCTTTAAAGGCTTGGTTTATCACGATATAGATAAACACAAAAATTAAAAGCATTCTGTAATTAATAAGAAATTTCAGGTTGCTTCCCTGAGAAAACCAGGTTGAGATATTTGCAGGATAATCTTGCTTCTGCTGTACTACTACTTTGTCAGAAATACCTACTTACTGTCATAACAGAAGTCACACCTTATTCTGTGACCTTCTTCTCTTAGTTATTGTGCTAAGATACTTACCATACAAATCCAGTCATTCAAAAGCAATTTGAACTCACGTTATTCTGAAAATGGATCAGCGCTTTACTAAACATACTCTTTCTTTGTCTAGAATAATAGGTTTACCATAGCAACCTGATCATAGAAGGAAAGCTACTGTCAAACATATCCTAAATTCTCTTTAAATTTCAGGGCATCTAGGAACAATTAAACATAGGAGGACTATAACATGCTGCAAGAGCTACACTTTATGAGTAAAAAGAAACAAGTTCAACTGAGACGTTATGTAGCAAGTGGCTTCCTCTCCTCCTCACTAAAAAAGGAGAGTAAATTTGTCTGATGGCTTCAGCTGAAGGAAGTTTTGTGATGGAGGTTGCGTTAGCTATAAGCACTGAAAAGCTTAACCTATGAATTGCAATGCAAGGCTCCAAAAACACATTAATTATACATGTATTTGCCTACAGTCTTCGTATTTCCTCACACTTTTTCTTCCCATTGATGTCAATAAGAGTATTAATTTATTACTGATAACAGCTATTACTTGAAGATTAAAAAGAGATCAGCTTAGGTTGGGGGATTTATTTTTATATGGAATTAAAGTGCCACATCTCATTAAAACACAGAAGTTTGTTAGATAACTGACTCTAGATTTGTAAAAATCTCTGCCTTAAGCATTTAGCTTTTGATTTTATTCACAATTTACTATAGTATATTTAATTCCTTTTGTCCAGCATTTATGAATGCATAACTAAACAGTGCCTAGACTTATATTAAACCTGCTGTCATGCAAATTGCTGTCACCATTAGCTGCATGCATTCAAACCAATTTCCAGATGCATATGTAGACTGAGAGTTTATTTTATAAAGATAATTTTCATTCTAAAACACTGTGGTAGAAGTACAAATTTGTGTAATAAAACTTTTTCTACCCTGTTACATCCAGTAAAATTACCAAGAAGAAACAGCAATATCTTTCAATGTAAAAATAAACACTGAATATAATAAGATGTAGTTCATTGTTTTTTCCTGTCTATAACTCTACAACACAAAGGATTTTTCTGTTCACAGTGTCAAATTTTTATCTTCTAAACGAAAACAAATAAAGTAACATTGTTATTTTTATTTATTTATTTTTAATGTGTAAGGAATACAACACCAAATTCCTCTGAGAATGGAAAAAAGCAAACCGGGTTCATTGGTACCTCAGAAAGATATTTCAGACTAGTGGTAAATAGAAGGAAAACTGCCTTTGGGAAGGAGTTTTCTGCCCCATAGCTCTCCCAGGCTTAACATGTGAAAGCATTACCTATCAGAAATTGCAATTTCTTTGTTATCAAGCACTCAGTCAACCTGAGCACATTCACTAAAGCTTCTGTGTCTTTTCTGCTAGCAGAACCCATTTCATGCAGTATGGGAACAGATGATCTAAAATAATGTTCAGAAATGGCAAATTAGAGAAGGGAGGTGGGAAGATTCACAAAGTCCAGGTGACAGAGTGGGTGGGGTGGAAGCAGATGTGACTTAAGGAAGTAATAGACAGGATGTAGCAGCTTCTGGTAAGGAAAAATCACTGACTGAGTGGTGGAGAGAAAAAAGACCAGTAAAGGGAATAAAGAGTAGCACAAAATGAGCAAACAAGATACAGAGCTTGCCAAAAATAGGGTGGACAATCTCATCATGCCTTGCTCAGTCTAAGGTGTTAAAAGCAGTGCAATCCAGCTGAGCTTGATCAATGTGGAGAAATTTATAGACTCAGTCAGAAAGCAACTACAGACTTCTCAGTGGGCAGAGGACATTTACTTAGTCCTATTCCCAAAATGCCCTGGAATGACTTCCTACACCCAGAACAGCTTTTCATTTAAAAAAAGAAAAACAACCCACATATAAAAATA